TCTTAATTCAATACACCTCTTAATACACAATTCCTAAATCACAACATGGTACATGGAGCTTAGAATTTCTTTTATCACGTTAATGTTCATGCGCACGACCAGTTTCCATACGTGATGTTTTTCGACGACCCCTAGACTGTAGTCAACTGCTCCGACAATCCTGTTTGACCTCTACTTGATCCTATTTGGTTCTAGTCCCTCTTAGCCTCATCTCCCATGATTACTCTCGCTTACACTTCGTCCACAAGACTTACTAACGTCCCGTAATTCCGTGTGAGAAATTGATCAGATCGGTCAATTACACGGCCGAAGCAACCGCAGCTGGTATTTTTACCTTGTTGAGTTGAGTATCAAAAGTTAAAAGTTCGTCAAATTAGCACGATAATTGCATATGTTCTCCTTTTCACAAAAAAGAAAGAAATAGATGATAGACTTTTTTTTTCCTAGTTATATATTAAGTGACACAATTCATCAATTCAGGATCTGACACGGATTGAGAAGGGAACTTTTAATTTTATTTTTTTAGTTAAACTGGGGTGAGCAAGGATATAGTAAGTATAATATCATAGCGTCAACTGTCAACCACACTTAACATTTAAATTATACATTTTACAGGAACCAACTACTTTTTGTAACTTCATCAAATACATGTATGAGTAGATGATATTCAATTTGGCTTACACATAGCATTATGCTATGTCACTGTTTACTTCTACAGTCTATAAGTCAGTAAATTGCCCCCAAGTGGTTGACAGCGTGACACAATCTTTATCAAGCTCTCTAAATAGTACTGTAAATAGGGATAAGGTGCCCCCAAACAAATTAAGTAAGCCCGGCGCTTAAAACTTAAACATGAAGCTAATCGACAAGAATCCATTTACTGTTATGACAAATCATGCTCACAAGCGGGTATATAACATTGTCACCGACTCACCAAACCAAAAAATAAACTATAATTCATTTGGGTGGGGGGGCATAACCGGTACTGAGACAACGATAAAGAGTGTTTTCATTTACAATTGATATCAAATTTGGGAGGCCTGCGAAAAGCCGGCTAGAGCAGCACGCTTTTGTAGTGCCTTCAACCGATTTGCTTCCATACGAGCTCTCTGCTCTTCTGTTATCTCAGCTTTGACAGATTGGCTGGATCCATTATTTTGGACTTCCTCTGATGTCTTTTCAATTGCCATACTTTCTGAAGCCATACTAGTGCCAACCACATTGTCCATCGACTCAGAAGGTTCCTGTAATAAAAGGGGAAGGTACTACTGTCGTTATGCTTTGACATAAGTTCCTTGTTTACCATTTCTCTCACAATTTGGTTTAATTGAAAAGCTACGAATAACATTAACAAGCTACTTGCAACTATTTTATTAAATTTACAAAGTTCTTAGAGATAATGGTATCTGCCTTCATACAGAGGCTTAAGTATGAATAAACCATAGACTTGAGAAGGAAAGATAAAATGCATATACAACAGATGTTTGAGTGATCTCTGTTTAAATTACTGAGAGAGAACAGTTTAATTCAATGATACAAAAGAACAGTTCAATTCAATTCGTTTGAACTAATATTCAGTTTAGTTCAATTTATGAGAACTATTTTTAAGTTCAGTATAATTTTTATAAATTTAGTTCGGTTCAGTTCATTTTACCCACCCCAACTACTATTGCATTCTTACATCAATCTTACTTTTTTCCTTTTTCTATTATTTTTTTACTCCTGCATGCCACTAGATAAGGATGACTGAACTAGGCTTAACCTTTTTTCCCGGATAATGTAAATTACTAACAAATCTGTGAGAATCAGTATCCTTAAAAGATAATTTTACATATTTCGTCCTGATTGATTGATTTAGATAAATATTGATAGTGCTTTCACAATTACATAAAACATATTACATAATGATAAATGACTTTTATTTGAAGTAAATTAAACTTACTTGAGTAGCTTTATCATAAATATCATTAAGCATGTCTTCCTGAATATATATATAAATAAATAAAAGTAAGTACAACTTGATTTGATTTTGAGATATTAAATTTCAATATAAAAATCGAACAAAATCATACAATTTTAAAAAGTTTATAATCAAACTAAACTCTAATTTATGATTTTTTTATTAGTTTTTAATTTTCAAGATTGATTTGCGATTCTTTTTAGTTGATTTGATTTTGAATAACTCTAAAATTAAGTATAATATAGTCAAAGAATACAACACAACAAAAGATATGTGCGTGGGAAAAATTAAGAGTTACTATGAATGTACACATCAAGTAAAAGATTGCAAAGTGAATATAACTTAACAATTTGAAATGTTTGAATAGCCTTTTAATTTTGAAATAATTTTAAATTTTTGTAATATCTCACAATATACAATAATTTTTTTTCTTAATATAAAATATTTATAAAAAATTTAAAATACAATTATATGTTTAAAAATATTTATTTATATAAAATTTAAATATAATTTATATATTTATATATATCATTATATATTTTAGTTATATATAATAAATATTTATCATGTACATTGTACGAGTTAAAATACTAGTACTAAATAGAGATTAAATTAGGTCAAAATTATAAGAAAAAAAATTACAAATCATTTAAATGATATTAATATATTAACATTTTTTTATTTGTATTTATCATTAACTTTTTTGTCATAATTTATAAGTTTATACACCAAATTTTTTTTTTTATAATTTACATTAGTCATTTTATATTTTTTCATAAAAAAAATTAAAAAATTAAAAAATTAAAAATTTAAAAAATTAAAAAATAACAATTCTAAAATATAGATATATAAAATAAATATATGCACAGTACTTACAAACATACACAACACATATACACAATATATACATATGAATATATACTATTTATAAAAATTATGTCTTTTTAGTGTACATTTCAAAGTTTTTTAATTTAATTTAATTTTTATTACACCTACTAATTAATTATTTAAAATCACTCTTCCTCGTTGTTAAAACGCTGTCTCATGTTTAATTTTAATTATTTACACATATTTTAACATTTTAAAACTTTAACTAAACGAATTGATTCAACTGATAATTGAATCAGAAGTCAATCTGATAAAAAAAAATTAAATTGACATATTCCATTGTAATTTTCAAACACTTTTAGTGTGTGTAAAATTAAAAAATTTAGACACAACCTAAAATTGTAAGCAGGTCATGTAATTTTAGGGAGAGTACAATGGTTATTAATATAATGCTTCTATTCACTATATATGTGCACATTATTTTCACATATTAGTTAAAACATAAATTTTATGTACTAATATGTAAACCATGAAAATAATTTTTTTCACTAATCTAATGTTTTTGTTTGTTATATATGTTGCAAATTTTGTATATATCATCTTAAATATAAATTTTATATATTTAATATGTATATTGTGAAAATAAAAATCTTCAATCTTTATTTATTTATTTAAAAACATCTTTAACACATGGTATTAGTTTTATTAAAATTTATGTGTATGACATATACATGATGTGTATATTTTTTTTAAAAATTTTTTTAATAAAAATTGAGTCATAAAATTTAATTTATAACTTGTCAATCGACCAACTTTTGATTTATTGACTAAGTATCCTAACTGACTTGATAATCATATGATTTTTAAAACTTTAATTTTAATTTTAATTTTATAAATAAAATACATAAATATACAAAATATTTTTTTATACTAATCTATTATTATAAAGATAATATTGTTAAAAATAAATATTTACTTATATATACAATTTATTATAAATTATAATTATATTTTGATTAATATTTAACATAGAGGTTAAAATACTGGATTAAAACTTTTTTATATTTAATAAATATTTAATCTGAAGTTAAAATACTGGATTAAAAATTGTTTTACGGGAGTTATCTGTACATTTCTTTGTTCCTCTGTACTCTAAACAATAAAAAGAAAATGAGTGATATCACTTAAACTCTGCATTGTTTTTCTATTTATTTTTCAGGTAGTTTTTAATTTTTATTTTCTACGATCAAAGATATATCTGATTATTTATTTTATTTAAAAGAAAAAAAACTTTTCCTTTATTATTTGAGATTATAAATATTTTTTAATAAATTTTTATTCTAATTATTAACTTTATAAAATATAAATAATTTTTAACGTAATTTTAATCATAAATTTTTTATTTTTAATTCAAATAACATTTTCCAAAATTTAAATTTAATTTAGAACAAATTTAGTAGAAATGATTGACTTGACATAATAATGCATGTACCTTATCTGGCTTATCAACTACTTGTAAGAATATTAATAACAATTTTATAATTAATTAGTTTTTTTTTACTTATTGATTTAGTAAATTAAATTATTTTTATAAATACTTTTTTGACAACATAAATATTAATCAACATAAAAAAATTATATTAAAAAATGTGATAGAAATTAATTAATTTGCAGTTTTTCTATTTATAAAAATCTAACATGGTTTCTTAATTTTGAATTGACAATGACTAATTTTGAAAGAATTGAGGACGATGGGTGGTCTTGTCCAATCCACATGTCTCTTTATAAAACAATCCTTGTCGCATTAGTTTGGCCCCATCTCATCTCTCTCTACTCTCTTTTCTAACATCAAGTAATTCTCACGCAATCTCATTAAAATAAAAAATAAAAAAAATTCTCACAATGAATATATAAATAGTTTTTTTTTTTTTTTAATAATATAAAGATAATTTAAATTTTAAAAAAATTAAAATAGAAAAGTATGAAGCGGCGTCGTTTGTTGCGGCCTGAAAAAAGTCCACAACTATGAATGAAAGTCATTGGCATAATGACAAGCATATCCGCGACCTAGGATCCGCTCACTAACCCCAGTCAAATTCAAACTCAACCATAGTTACTCCATTTCACCAAAACATGCCACGTGTCCCAATCGAACGGTCATTTCCAAAGATATTCAGCATGACGCGCCACTATAAATATCTCTCATCTTCACTCCCAAGGTCCAAACCCTAATTCATCTTCTTCATCGTCACTTTCATCTCTGCAACTATGGCTAACCCTAAGGTTTTTTTTGACATGGCCATCGCCGGTCAGCCTGTCGGCCGTATCGTGTTTGAGCTCTACGCCGACGTGACTCCCCGCACCGCCGAGAACTTCCGTGCTCTCTGCACAGGCGAGAAGGGAGTCGGCCGCAGCGGCAAGCCTCTCCACTTCAAGGGCTCGTCTTTCCACCGTGTGATCCCTAACTTCATGTGCCAGGGAGGTGACTTCACTGCCGGAAACGGCACCGGCGGTGAGTCGATCTACGGCGCCAAGTTCGCCGATGAGAACTTCGTGAAGAAGCACACCGGTCCTGGTATCCTCTCGATGGCGAACGCGGGTCCTGGAACCAACGGATCTCAGTTCTTCATCTGCACGGCTAAGACCGAATGGCTCGACGGGAAGCACGTGGTGTTTGGACAGGTCGTTGACGGAATGAACGTGGTGAAGGAGATCGAGAAGGTTGGATCCAGCTCCGGCAAGACCTCCAGGCCAGTCACCATCGCCGACTGCGGTCAACTCTCTTAGATAGACGGTGTTGACCCGAGGCTTTTATATGTGCTGGTGGCTCTGAGTCTGTGTTGTGTTTCCCGGTGTCGTTTTACCTTTTCTCTTGTCGTTTAGGGATTGTGGTGTTATGATGGAAAACCCTTCCCTTTGAATCCTTTTATTTTCTGTCTAATATCCGTATGTGGTTCATAGAGTGAATGGAGTCTGTTATCAGAAACATAAAAATGATGAGCTACCTCAATAAAACTTAGGAAATTTCGCATCGCATCTGATTATCCTTTCATTTCTATGTATTTTTCTTGTTTCTGGATGTAGTCTTTTAATTTAACTGATTAATGATCACCAGTACTTAAATCAGATACTAGAAACATTCTTACTTTGATAATTAACTACTAAAACTGAAAATTTGGTTTTGTTTCTCTGATGTGGAAAAACTAAATTATGACTGTTGGTGAGAGTTTAATTTTCTTCAGTTATTAGAGTTTTTGATAAATAGTGATCAGTACTGTAATTTTATTTATTTTCTAGACATCTCAGTGAAAAAAATCTGATTTGGTTTTGGATGGTTTTGACACTTTGCCTTAACTTTGTTGGACACTTTTGACGTAACAAGGAAGTTGATTTAGTGTTGATGGGAGATGACACGTGCTAGTGTCCGTGTCCAGATTGTGTGAACCTAAAGCATGGACAATCACAATTGAAAATATCTGGTACTATGTGATGTGCGGACTAAGGATAATGTAATATAACTCATAATAAAATTTAAGATGAAATTAATAAATTGATTGGGATGTGGTGTGCCGCCACCGCAGTTTTCCTTGCACGAGCTTTTTTGTGATTTTTTTTTCATTTGTTGGTTTTGATGATTCAGTTTTTTCATATCTTCTTTAGTGTTTTGTATGGTACTGAACTACCAATCTCCTAAAAATTGCTTGGTAGTTTTTAAATTTGAGTTGAGTCTTGAATCATTAGGAAACAATAATAAAGTTGGAAGGGACCATATTCATGCCTACTCTAGCAACTAATTGAGAGGTTAAAACAAGGATAACATAAATTCATAGAGGTGAACCCTTAGATGGAAATTAAATGAAAAAGTTAAACCTGTGTACAATACAACACACTGATTCCTCGTCCTCTTCTTAAACCTTGATCAAAACGCTTCTTGTTTTCATTTAATCATTACTAAAATGCCAAGTTTTTCTTTTGGTAAATAAGAACTGTGCCATTCCCGCTATGACAAATTGACAATTGTGGGTGCAAAAGGTTTTCTTCTTGACTGGAAGATTATAAGACTGATTATGAAATTTCATGATACTTTAAAGTTGAAATTAATTGTGTGAAGAGATTATGTTTGTACTTAAATTCCACTGTGCTCATGTTACGCACAAAAGTCTGTCATCTATATTGGAATAGAATGTATAAAGATTCACATATACATGTAGTTTTTTTTTTTTATTATTTAAAAAAAAATTGAGTCGCGGACCTGTTGTATTCTATGATGGTATTTTTATTTTTATTTTAATTTTTAGAGATTCCTCTGTCAGTGGATAGTCTTTTTAGGCAACAAGATGCTGCCTTCAATTTTTTATAGATCAGACATCAGAGAGCGTAGAAAGAAAGCATTCGAGTAATAACCACTCAGCATGGGTGGTTGGGGCTGCATTCAAAGGGATATAACATGCAACGTATAAAAAATGTTTGCAAAATAAATAAATAAATAATGTAACACATAAAAACATGAGTGTAATTAGATTTTTACACATAAAAATTGCATTTTTTTAGATTTCATATAATTTATCTATAAATATCTTTTATATGAACTCATGTTAAATGTGCATTGTGATTTTGATAAAAGGAAGTGTCTAACTACTTTAGAACATCAAGTGATTTTTTGTTAAATAAAAAAACTTATAAAGTGAATAAAGAATTTTCAAGGTAAAAACCAACATAGGGGTATATTTAAACATATTTTTTTAAAGTAATTTCATGTTCTTTATTTTTTAAATTACTTGCAAAATTTTAATGTAATTATGTTTAAAATTGTTATTTTTATTAGAAAATGGACCATCCTAATCCTTGGACCTTGGTGGAGTAACTTGTCCATGGTTCGGCCCAAAGTCCGTCCTGTTGTGCCTAAACGTTGGGTCATAGGTCAATAACTAGGCATGCATATTTGGTTGAAGAATTATCAAGGTATTAACACTAGTCAGCGGGCAATAGGTCAATTACTAGGCATGCATAATTGAGTTAATTTATTTAAAAAATAATCCTTTATTTTTTATTATAACTTTTAAATGATTATCTTTAAAAAAAATCTCTCGTACCACCCTTAAACGTTTTTAAGAACTTTTCTTGAGAGAATTTTTAAAGATTTATTAAATTTCTTATCTAATTTGATTTTTATTTATTATAATTATTTATGAATTAAATTTTAATATTTTAAAAATAAATTTACCCACCAAATATTTTATGTTAAATACAAATTTTTATTTTATGTGAGAGTATTCTTAAGGGATTTTTTTTTCAACGAGAGCGTTTATAATTTTTTTAACTTATTATTTAATTTAATTTCTATTTATCATAATTATTTATAATTTAAATTTAATATTTTTAAATAAATCAATTTCTATATATAAAACATAAATGACTATCTTTGTAGGGAGTATTTTTAGAGATTTCCTTTGGCGATAATTTTTAAATATTATTTCAAATTTATATTTAATTTAATTTTTATTTATGAATTAAATTTTAATATTTTAAAATAAATTATCAATTAATAAAAATATTCTTGCACTACAATATATATATATATATATATATATTTATTCAAATTTTAAATATAATATATATATTCAAATATAATATTTATTTATATATATTTATTTTAAATTTTAGTTATATATCATAAACATTTAATATGTGTATTGGACAAATTAAAATACTAGTTGATTTAATGATAAGGAATTTTTTTCCCCAAATTTTAAGGGTGAATAATAATTTGATATATATATATATAATAGATTGATAGAGAGGGGTTTTGAGGAATTTATGACTGATTATTATATTAAAACGTTACATATTATAAAACTGACGAGAAAATGTATTTTTAGTAAATAATTTCATTCTGTAGATTAATAAAACTTGGATAAAAAAGTCCATTCTTATTTTTTTATGAAATAATAAGCATCTCAATTTTTATAATTATTTATCGTTCACATGTTAAGCACTACTTTTATATATATGTACAACTCAAAAAATTATTGTTTTTAATAAATAATATGTGAAAATATATTAATAGTATAAAAATTTAATATTATTATTTAATTGTAAATTATTATTTATTTAAATTTATTAATTTTTATAATAATTATTTAACAAATTAAATTAATATTTTATTTTTATTGATATATGGTGTAAAAATTATTCCTCATACATTCATAAGATTAACATTTCTAATTGAATTTATGTTTTATTGAATAAAAAATAGTGTATCAAGTTGTTATTACCATTTTTCATATTGTTTATCTTTAAGCAATAGTCGTTATGAAAATAGGTTATTATATTTTTCTTATCATTTATCTTATGAAACTCACTCTTTACACAAAATAAAATTTATGTAAGTTTTATTAAATATGTTTTATTTATAAAACTCAACTTAAAAAAATTATTTATTTCTTTATATAAGACTTCATAATATTTTATATATTCATGTTTGTAAACTAAAATATTTCTACTTAAAACATGTTCTCTAAGTAGTATTAATTAAAAAATAAGTAGTATAGAATATTTATTCTAATTAATTAATAGAGAGGATGAATGTTAATTAAGAGAAAAAATAATACAAATTAATTTTAAAAAAAGATATATAAAAATAAAATAAATTTATTTTATCAAGTAGATTAATTATTCTTCTTAATTTGAATGATAGTGTATAAAAATTAGTACCATTCCATAATTTTACATGGGTGTATATTAGAAAGAGAGTGTTTAAAAGGCAAACTGTCCGGCGAGCGGAGCTGAAAAATACGGTTGGGCTGAGTGCGAATCTTCGTTTCCTCGGAAACCCTAAAACATAGAATCTTAGATGGAACTGACATGGTTGAGTGCCATTCTGGTCGGGGCTGGTTATCTTGCTTTCGGTTACTTCATTGGTTCTCAGTATCCCCCTCGTTTCCTCTTCTCTCATAAACTGTTGACTAAACATAAAGATGATGATTCACTTCTCAATGACACCGATAATAAGAAGAGGAATAGTAAGTCCAAACTCAAAGACCCACTTGAGATTGAAAAGCTCGCTAATATTCTCGATGATTTTAAGATGGTACTCCTCAAAATCCCTCTTTTTTTTCTTCCTCCAAAACCCATGTACTCAATCTTACTTGGTTGCTTCAAAAATCGTTCGTTTTTCTGCAGATACTCGTTGTCAGGAATGATCTTAAAATGGGTAAAGGGAAGATTGCTGCTCAATGCAGGTACGTAATCTTTAATAATATTAACTTTGAAACTTTGAATATGCTTAGAATATGAGACTTTTATTGTTCTGGTTGTTTAGTTTGTTGAAGTAGACTAACATAGAGATCCCCCTGAAGTCATTTATCTTCGTATTTCAATTCTGTGGACTTTATTTTTTAATTTTTTAATAATTATATTCTTATTCTATGAAAACCTGATAAATGGTTCAAACTCACTACATTGTTTCTCTTTTTCTTTTTTAATTGCAGTCATGCAACTTTAGGCCTTTATAAAAAGCTCCTTCATCGAGCACCAAAGGCTTTGAATAGGTACTGCCGTAACCTTGGTTGCACTTGAAGGTTATCTTGCATTTTATAATTTCATTATGAAGATTCTCAATGTCAATGTGCAGGTGGGAGATGTCAGCGCAGCCTAAGGTTGTTGTCAAAATTGAAAGTGAAGAGGATATGCTGGCTTTGCAAGTAAGTATTGTTTAGGGCAATTTTGTGCTACATTAGCCAAGTTATTGTGTAATATATGTAAGATTTGTATTGGACACTTCCCTGCTATACATAATCAGTTATTGGTTATAAATTTATAATTATGATCACAATGAAATTAGATTGGAAGCCAATTTACTTTTATTTAACAGTTATAACTCCTCACTTTTCCCATAAAGTGAACCAAATCAAGTGGTCTGGCCATATTTAACAAATGGATTATGGATGTAAAGGAGGACAATGAGAGAATACTTTAATGATCATAGAGCAATGTAAGGCAGGCAAGTTTGGGCTCTAGTGCGAAAATATTGACTGTAACACATGAAACAAGAGGAAAATTGCTTCTATACTTACTAGCAGCTGCAAATGTTGTGTGTAATTTTCTGAGGAAACATGGATAAGGCAAAGATGTGAGAGCTCTTACATAGTAGCATGCAATTTGGCTGTACTTGGTGAATGTGCAGGGAGAGGAAGTGGAGGGAAATTCATTCAACATAAAATATTGATGTCCAAAAATGAAAAATTAAAAAGAAAAAACCCTATGCATTTATTAGGCCCAAATGCTTATTTGAATGACATAATCTGACTGCTGTTTTAGCCTTCAGCGAATTGAATGGTAATTGGTAAGTACAGAGGAAGTTGGACTTCAGAGTTATGGAAATGATAGAAGTGAGAGCTTTGGAAGAGTGTAATTTGGATTATACACAATTAATGCTCACAGAGACGGGAGGTATGAACTTGGTCATCCAAAAAGATGAACATTCAACTTGAGGCTTGGAACTCAAACTGAATGTCACATTTTGTATTATTTCACCTTGTATTATACACAAAAGCAACTTCACAATCTTTGTTAGAAAGTGCAGTTAACTTGTGAGGGAAAAGAATTACTAGCTTGTCTAATTTAACAAAACAGGATAGCATAAAAAGGATTATTATGTTATCAGAAAAATATATTTTCAGAATCTCAAGTAAGAGCAGTTATCTTGTGAGGACAAAGATTACTAGCTCATCTAACTCAACAAAAAAGGATAGCATAAAAAGGTTTATTTTGTTTTCAGCAAACTATATTCTTAGAATCTCAAGTAGTTTTAGCTGTGTTGTTTTGTCTACTGATATTATATAAATTGTAGAGCCATTTATTTCTGTCTTGTTTTTGTAAGGGTAAACATATTTTTTAATTAATGAAAACATGCCTATAAAAATTGACGATAGTGTCTGGTTTGCATTGCTCTCTTCCATCATTTTCCCTGAGAGTACATGTTTTTTGTTCATATTTATCTTAATAGTTTATATATATCGAGTAAGTTATTTATTTATTTATTATTATTTAATTTTAATTTTTTTTATAATGCATGGCTCCTTTATTTAAAGCTGGTTTTGTATTAGTAAAATTATTGTTTGATGTGTTAGGAAAGTGCTAAATCTCTGAAGTTACCTACCCATATCACAATTGATGCTGGCAGAACACAGATTGCACCAAGTGAGTATTTGAAACTTCCATTATGTAGTTTTTTTAATAGATATCCAGTAGTTTTCATCAAGTATCATATAGCTGTCAAATTATATGAAAATTTGAAAACTTAATCATTTTAATGAGAACTTTCTATTCTTAAAAAAGTTATTTAAAAGACAATACTTCATGTCAATTTTCTAGATGTTTATTAAATTGTGTCTTTGGAAGCCAATGTGAAGTGTTGATGCTTGCTTCTGCTTCATGTATGTATCTGTATCAGTTGTTGGATATGTATATGATGCTAATACTCTTAGATACTTTACTGTTATTCATGAAGTATTTAAGTTTTTTTTTTTTTGAAAATCTAATGAAGGTATGAGATATAGATGATTGAATAAGATAACGCATAGAAGCATTGTCTTTGATTAACTAAACATGAAAGTTGTCGTCTTTACCAATGATACTCAAGGAGGGAATAAGATTGGTACTATTCCTATTTGTAGGCAATAGGCAATGATTTCTTATGACAATGATTTATAATTTATATTTTATCATTGTTCAAGAAGTATGCTTTTAATTTAGATTTTTTGAATTGCAACTAAATATTTATTATGTGTTATGAACTCTTATACATATATTAATATTAATATATATTTTAAAAGTAGTTGTATCGTTGTGATGCATTTGTATTATATCCAATACCTGATCTGATCCTTTGGAAGCTGTGTCCAGCTAGAGTAGAAACTAGAGATAGTTTTCCTGCATCCCCCTAAAATGAAATGGTCATCTCATGATCCTTTTTTTAATATTGAAGTTTAAGTCATGCTCGAATTATGTTGTTTCATACACACATACTGTGAATATAAGAGTTGCTAAGTTGGCTCTTTTGGACTGTCTGTGTCTCTATCTCACGTGAGAAAAGATGATTTGATTTACATTTTAAATGGTAAAGTTAGATAAATGACAGGCTTTTCTTTGGTTATTCGATACATATTCTACTTGTTGTAGCTGTATGATATAAAATTTTGTATATATTTAATGCTTATGAGTATGACAGTTAATTTACATTTTTTTCCCTTTTCTTTTCTAGATTCCAGAACAGTGATGGCAATTCTCGGTAATACTCTCCTCTAATGCACTTTCTTGGTTATGCAAATTTATGACCTGTTTACTTTGGTTTTTATTTTTTTCCATTTCTTGTTATCACTTTTAATTACAAAAATACCTCTTTATTTTTATTGTCTATTTTCAAATTTTTGTATATGAAATAGTAAAAAAAAATAAAATAAACCATTTTCAATATTTTCTATACAAATATTTGAAAACGAAATAAAATGAAAAGTAGGTGAGATTTTTATAATTAAAAGTGAAAACTAAAAATGCAACTAGAAAATATTTTCTTAAATCAAAGAGGTCCTTGCATTTTGTTCTTATGCAGCCAGTTGTTTGACCTAATATATGATATTCATGTGCAGGACCTGTTGAAGTGGTAGATGAGGTAACAGGTGGACTGAAACTTCTTTAGTTTTCTGTCGGATCAACATGTTGCATTGTTTACCATGAACCTGAGTGTTCGTGAAGGATAACAGACTGCACTAATTATGGGCCTCGTGAAGACTTACCATGTTCTTTGCCCACAAAAATTTACGATTAATCTTTAGTTGACAGTAAGGATAATGATGATGATGAAAGCTTTTCTTTGGAGATTTACCATGTGCAATTCAGTTTGTACTAGATATATATTCTGGTGATTCTAGGCACGGTGCCAAAAAGTTTTGTTCATGGCGGTACCATGATTGATGTTGGAAGGTATATGAATTTATTTAGCCACCAAAATAAAATTTGGACATGCCATATGGAATAAGAAAATATAGGGAGTATATTATATAGCACTCACTACGCATGGATTTAATCTCTGATAAATGAACGACGTGAACGCTGCCAACTAATGCATTTTTTTTAGCATATATGGATATAAAGTCACTCCCTTGATTCTAAAAGTTGTTACTATCAGAGAAAATCCGACATCAGGTGGTTCATTTCAGAATCATAATGTTAACTTGGCCATTCTACCATCAAAGATAAATCGTGAGACGGTTTTTCTTGTTTTATTACTTTTTTTCTTGAGTCGGTAGGTGTTCGAAAAGTTTTTCATTAGGGCTACGCTAAAATTCTGAATTGGTAATGATTAAGTCCACGAAGGATATGTTCTCAAGTTTGGGGTGGAGGGAGGGTAAAACATGATCTTGTACCTGAAACAAAAGGTTCGAGAAAGTTGTTTTCTGTTGTCTGCAAATGACTAGGTCGAAAACAATGATATTGTTGTAATTAAAAAGTGAAAAAAAAAATTAAAAAAAAACACAAATAAATGGACTATAGTATTTCTCATTTTTGTTTGTTTGTTAAATAGATATAACTATTTTTTTATCATAATTATTTATTAGAGTAAAATAGTGTGTTTAATTGCGACTTTATATTTAAAGTAAAAATGGAATATAAATGTGAAATCATTTACTTTTTTAATATTTCTCAATTTTTTTATATCATTGTATAGAGATGAATGTATATAAATGTCATTTCATGAAAAGAAAAGGAAGGACAAACGTACAAAGAGTGTCCAATCCTTTTCTTCTTAATTTTACACTAAACATAAATGTATCTTATAACATTAGAAAAGAAACATTAAGCGTATAAAATAAATGACGCAAAAATGAGATATATGATAAGAATTGAATAATAAAAAAATGAAAGCTATAATAATGGAGGGAAAGGAAATAGAACTGTTTCTAGAATAAGAGACATGAAGGAAAATATCAACAATTATACAAGAAAGAACAGGACAAACGGAGAATAGTCAAATTACTCACCTTGTTTTCTTTGCTTGTTCTCCTTCTAACTCTTGTAACTAGGACTTGTTTTTCCTCTTTTTCCTTTATACTTTTTTCGTGTGACAACAATCTATACAGTTTTAGTTACTATGACTATTTTTAGATGAGTACGTGTTCTTTATCTTACCTTTATTTGTAGAGATGTTTTATGGTAAGGTTTTAGTCTTTTTGGTGTGTTGACAAGGGTAATTTGTATCATAATTAATTCAATTACTATTGAAAAATAATTTGTATAGTAATTAATTCAATTCCTATTAAAAATATAACTGTTATTGTTAATTAGTAATTAGTTCAATTTCTCATTTTTTTTCTCATCGCTTTATTTATGGATCACATGTTTAAACTGTACTTTACAATAGATATGCTTGGTTACAACCTAGCATATAAAATGATTAAACCTAAATTCATAATTAGTGAAAGGAATATAATTATATAATTTTGAAATCATTGAATTAATTTATAAAATTTGGAATGTTACTAATAGTCGCCAATGGCATGCGAAAACAATGAGTTGCAAGGAAGTGAAGAAGCAAATTGAAGTTGAACCGTGGTGAGTGGTGACTAGATCAAAAGGAGCGTGTTTATTGGTATTTTGGTGGATGAACAAGTTGTGTGCTGGTTGGCACAAATCATAGATTTGAATCTTCGTTACTCCAGTTGCTTGACGCCAAGCTTCAAGATATCCATGTAAGTCTCTGATCTCGGCATGAATGATTTGTCTTCGGCCAAACTGGAGAGGTGATCAATTTATGTGCAAAAGATGGCCCAATCATTACTTATCTGCGACATCAAAATAAAAAATGGTGACTGACTACATAAAAAAAGGTGTATTGATATTTAATATTGGGTGAAAATGAGTCTTAAAGTGTTAGACTAACATTTTTAGGCAACTCTCTGCTTTAAAAATAGAAACTCTTCTAACTAACTTCTATTGAAGCTTTATTTTTTGGACATTTGTTCACAGTAAAATGTTACTTTTGTCTTTTAACAAATTTTTGTAAAACTGTTTGACTCAACTTTTCCTTTTAATTAGTAGTAGAGAAGTCCCCAAAAAACCTGCCAAACACTACCTATTGTTCATGAGCTATAAATTTTGTAGTTTTCTTGTTCAATCAGCTAAACCAAAATTTGTATCAATTGCTTCACAAGCAGTCTATTCTTGTTTCACAGCACTGTATGTAAGCACCACTCTTGACAACAAACATAACAAGCTACACAAACATTTCCTACATACAAATAGGCCTTGCAACTAGTTTCAAATCTTTTAACCGGTTCTTTCACTTCAGGAAGGTTCAACTTTTCCGCTACAGAAAGAACTAAATTGTAAGTGATACTAACCTTTTCCCGCACTCTTCTGATTTGGATACGACACCATATCATAGTACTTATGCAGACACCTACACGTTCAGGCTTCAGACACCCCATCTTGTTTCAGGCACCAACCTCTTTTCCAGACAACTCAGCCTTAAGAGATTCTATATACTTTTGTCTTGGCCTGACCCTTTTCAACATGTCATTATTCAACTAAATGCTGTGTTAAGTTCTCCATTACAGTGACAACCATAATACGGGCTTAAACTTTTTCTAGAGCATGCATGTTATACCAATCTAATTGGTGCTTCTATATTAACCCTTCTGCAATGCTTTTAAATTTTGTCTTGGCTTCATTCCTCTCCTCAACATGTCATCACGCAATTCAAATGCCTTGTCGATCTCTCCATTAACACAGCAGCCGTATATTAGCAAGTTACATGCAACCAAATCTGGTTCGAGACCTTTGTTTAGCATGTTATCCCATAATTTAACAGCTGGTCCTACATTGCCACTTCTGCAATACTCATAAATTAAAGTTGAATAGGTAATACAGTCAGGGAAAATACCATTTTCAGTCATTTCAGAAAGAACTTTGGTGGCTTCTTGAAATCTACCCAGTTTGCAGAAGCCACGAATAATAATGTTATATGTTACAGTGTTTGCTAAAAGCCCTTTAAGCATTGCATGGTGAAGCCCTATAGCTTCCTTCATATTTCCCTCCTTCGAAAGACAGTTAAGAAAACAGCCATATGTGATTGAATTGGGAGAGACGCTTGCAGCCTGCATTTTTTTAAAAAGATGACCTGCTTTGTCCATTTCACCTGCTTTGCATAAACCATTCATCAAAGCAGTATAAGTCACAACATTAGGAAAACATTCCTCAGTAACCATCAAATCCCAGCATTCAAAAGCTTTCTTAAAAGATCCTGCTTTGCTGTACGCGTCAATCATACTTGTATATATTACATTATCAGGTCTTAATCCTTGATCATGCATATCTTTTAAGAGACCAAATAATGTTTTCCTGTCTGGCAGCTTTAAAGCACCATCAATAAGAACAGCATGGCAAACCAGATCCATGTTGATTCCTCTTTGAATCATTTCACAGGAAGCACTCAGTGCCTCCATCAATCTTCCTTCCTGGCAATAACCATGTAGAAGTGCACTATAGCACATTTCATTTAACTTTACGTTCTGCTCATGGAGACCATCAATAAAATCTTTAGCTTTAGAAACCCTACCGGTAGAGCAAAGGCCACTAATAAGAGGTCTGTAGGTATATGTGTCAGGAACAAGGCCCTTTTGAAGCATGCCTTCAAGCAATTCAAATGCTTTATCTATGTTGCCATCCCTACAATACCCTTCAATCAAAACATTATATGTCACCTCAGTTGGCTTGATTTTCCTTTCAACCAATTCATCAAAAAGTTTGGATGCTTCAGCCATCTTATTTGTGCCGCAAAGCCCAGAAATAAGGGCAGTGAAAGTATAAATGTTTGGAGTAATTCCTTTCTCAACCATCTCATTGTATAGCTTAAATGCTTTTTGCAGTTGTAGGTCTTTGCAATACCCACTGATCAATGATGTAAAGGTTGTAGCAGTTGGCTCCACCCCTTTATTGATCATCTCAGTAAACAGAGACTCGGCAGCACTCAAATCCCCAAACTTGCATTGTCCATTGATCAAAGAGTTATAGGCATATACAGTCTCTCTTATACCATCTTCTATCATCCTATCAAAATAAGATATTGCAACATCCAACCTCCCCCTTCTGCAGAAGGAATCAATCAGAATAGAATAAGTAATACCATTGGGACGCAAGTTCATCAAACGCATATTATTATAAAGCGACTCTGCCTTATCCAAATCTTCACCTTTGCACAAAGAGTTGATTAATGCATTATAAACAAACAAATTCGGCATAAAACCGAATCTCCCCACCTTAACTACCAAATCATAAGCATCATCAATCTTTCCTTGCTTTCTCAGTCCATCCACTAACCCCGACACAGCAGCCTCGGATGGAGTAAGCCCCAATTCAACCATTTCATCCACAAGCTGTATGCCAGCCTCAAATTGTTGCACCCTACAAAAACCAAGCACTAAAGTACAGTATGTAACCACATCCGCTTTTAGACCCTTTTCCCCCAACGATCTTTTAATCTCAACAGCTTCCCAAACTCGATCACCCTTGCACAGCCCATGAATCAAGACATTATAAGTTACAATACTCAGATCAAACCCATTAGATTCCAGCCACAGAATCTTCTCCTTAGCTCTAAAAAAATCTTTCAATTCACACATGCTACGGATCACAGCGGAGCAAGTATAAGGATCAGGTTGAACACCCGCATTCACAGACTCATCAAACAATTCCCAAACCGTTATAAATTTTCTCACTCTCAAAAGCCCGTTGAAGAGGGCACTCAATGTTCTAACTTCAGGCAACAAAGCGTTGGCAAACATGAGTTTTACAACGACCACAGCATCAAAAACTCTGGAACTGAGCACGTAATTCTGAACCAGCAAATCGAAACCCGAAGTGGAGGAAAACTTACATCGCTTGTGAGAGTGTAGAAAATGAGAAAAAACGAATTTTGGGTGGGACCCACGAAGGAGAAGGGTGTGCAAGAGGGAATTGGCGGGCCAGAAGAGCCTGGAGTGCACGAGGGCGTGGACCAAGATGGCGA